ATGCCTTTGCTGGGTGCATTTCAGCCACAGCTCTTGCAGGATTATCTTGGTGTTACAGAAAGGGGAGAATGGCCATGGAGTTGACAGCTCGCAGTCCATTCCAAAAGGCAATAATGAACACAGTTTGCATGTCCATCTACAATTAAAAAAGGCTCATGTGTAGGATCACATTAGTCTGCAATCGTCGACCTACATATATCGAGGACCTCTTCAGTGCCAGGCACAGCCCCAAGCATTGGGGCTCAATGACTCCTTTGTGTGTGTCAGTATTTACTATGTGCTGGACACCACTTAACTGCTTTTCTGACATGATTTACACTATTGCACTTAATTTGCTCTGTTCTCTGTCCCTGGAATGATCAACCCCATGTTGCAGGTATTGTCAATAATGCTTTATAGGGTGAGGCAACTGAGGATCTATGAGAATGTTTGTCTTCATTTTCTAGATCATAGATAGAATTTTAGAGCTTATAGTGGTACAGGTAATTCATGGTAGAGTTTATCAGACCAGTGCTTCCTATAAGAGTTCCATGTTTGGTGCTGACTCGATGTTTTGAATGTAGCATACATACATACACAGTGAAGCTGTGAGAAAGTGTGACCTTTAGTCAGGTCATGCTGTGTCCCAGTTCTCCCAGTTAGGGTTCTCTTACATGAAGTGACATAGTTAGTCCGTGCTTCCATTTTGTCATTCATAGGATGGGGACCTGCCATCTGCCTTGTACAGTTTTTATGAGGATTAAATGAGATAGTGCAGATATGTAGGTAACTGTAAGTTATTTATTATGGTTATCTTCAGCACCATGGTTTAACACTGACTTTTTTTTAAGATTTATTTATTTATTCATTCATTCCTTCATTTAAATTTGACCAGACACACACACACACACACACACACACACACACAGAGAGAGAGAGAGAGAGAAGTGAGAAAGCAAGCTACCAGGTCCAGGACTTGAACTGTGGTTTGGTTGGCTATGTGGGAGTGTCCAGCACCTTAACCACCACGCCACCTGCTGGTCCCATCACTGACTTTCTTTTTAAAATCAGTATTTGTGCGTTAAGACTGTAAAAATCACTCATTCCCATTTTAGTTACTAGGACTACAATTATAATGTGCAGAATATGGCAAATGTTTTTCTGTGGTTTTCTATTACCATGAAGTAGGAAGGAAGTGATCTTTTTTTGCCAGGTGAGTGACTTTTGCAGTTTAGGAACAGGGATACACTATTTTACCTCCTGTTTGTTTTCTATAGCTGTCATTATCAAATTTCACAAACTTGGTGGCTTAAAACAACACAAATTTATCATTTTACAGTTTTGTAGGTTAGAAGTCTGTCTCAGAGCTGGAACTAAAAGCAGGAGTTGTTTGGTCTGCATTCCGCTCCAATCTGGGCAGAATCCATTTTCTTGTTTTTATCCATCCGTCCGTCCATCCATCCATCCATCCATCCATCCATCCATCCAGTTTCTAGGGGCTGCCCACATTTCTTGGCTTGTGGTCTCTCCCTCCATCTTTACGGCCAGTAAAGTAACTGCTCTCCGGTCTTGCTCCTATTATTATGGCTTTAACTCCCACTTCTGCTGTTTAAGGACCCTTGTGATGTTTAGTCACCTTACATTCCTTTTGAAAGAAGCAAGGTACGTTCAACTGGAACAGCCCCTTCCCTCCCAGAGCCAAGGGCTTTTGGCATCTGGTGCACATGGTAGCTGCTTAGATAGGTGGCCTCAGTCTGTTACTTACTATCACTCTTAACCACTACGAATACTGGGAGGATCTGCAAAATTTCTTTGTTGTTTTTTCCAGCATATGATTGATGAGCAACCTAGTGGTTCTTTTTCACTGTAGGGCACGTGCGCTCGCCAGACAGACAGAGAGAGACATAGAGACAGAAAGCGAGAAATCAGCCCCAGGGGGGATGGTCACGCCGCAATCCCTTCTCCTCCATTCTCCTCTCGGGATCTTGGGCACGCACGCACACGCGCCCGGCGTGAGTTTTAAGCCACCAGGTCCGGGACACGAACCGCGGTCGACTACGTGGGAGTCCAGCGACATAGCCATTACGCTAACTGCTGGTTCCCGTGGTTCTTTTTCAATACTTAAATTTGGTGACATTAAATTAAAATATGACTACTATTTTAATATATAGGCTAATGTTTCTTGCTTATGCAAAGTATGGATTGCTTTTGAAGTACAATTTTAAATAAATGTCAGTTCTTAAGCTTTTTCGTGTGTTGCAGATAAAGTTTACAGTAACTATTTCTTACATATACAGCAGTCTTTAAAGTGTTTTCCATTAAGGAAGCCCGGCACTAATTTCCTTGTTTGCTCTTTTAGGAATGTTTTAAAGGAAGTTGGGCTACTCACAAGTTACTACACAAGAAAGCAAGTAAGTGAAATCACGTGTCTGCTTGACTGTCTTACAGTGGCTTCTGTGCCAAAAGAGAGGAAGTCCCCTGTTTCTGAAAGTGTCTGTCTGATTGTTCTGAAGGTGTGATCCTGAAAGCTAGACTTACCGTGTATTTTTAATTCTTTGTGACAAATAATTTTAAGTAAAATGTGACTGAACATCTTAGTTAATTTTGTGTCACGTATTTAACATGAAAACATGGGATAGTTGCTAGGAGAGAAGGATCTTGTTTGGATTTGTCAATTTTTTAATTTCTGTTACCTCAGACCACAGTACTCTGTAGAGAGAGGTTTAAATAATGTCATTTAGCTTTATTCGCTCACACACTGCCTATCGTATGTCTAACATATGTCAGGTGTTTCTCAGAGCTCTTTGAGCCAGTTTTGTCATCGTATACCCGGAAGTTAAGCCATAAGAAAGTCTAAAGGGATGAGATTAAATAGCATGTTAGTGAAAGAGCTTAGAAAGGGTCTCTACCCCAGGGTGTGCCACTCATTAGAGTGCGTCTGTTCGGTATGGAATTTCTTCCTTCTTTCCTTCCTGCATTACGTTCTTCCTTCCTGTGTACTTGCCAGAGAGAGAAACAGGGAGAGGAGAGAGCGCCCTCCCTGGGGAATGGTCATGCCACAGACCCTTCGCCTTCACTTCTCCTTTGGGAACACACGGGCATATGTGCCTAGTGTGTTCCGGGTGGCACGACAGGCCACGTGGGGTCTGGCTGCCTTAACCACCCTTCTGTGGACTGGCCCTGAATCTGGAGTTTTCTTGATTACAGAAACTTAATTTTTTGTGTTGGCTGTGGGAAATTTTAAAGCATGAGTTAAATAAATAACCCAGGGCAGAATTAATGTTTTGTGTGCCGGAGTAAAGATCTGTCCGACTGTAAAGGCCTTAATTAAGAGCACAGAATGCTGGTGCTTGTGTGTATATTTGCTACACTACATCTTCTGTCGAACTGTAGGTAAGTAGGCTTACTTTAGTCCGATCCATAAAAGTTGTGTCACCTCATGAGTCAAGACTGTCATTCTACACTCTTTTAATGTGTTACTGACACACATAGATTCTTTGTCTCTCATTTTCATGAAGTAAAAGGTGAAAGAATTTAATAAGTACCTTTTGAATAGCCAAAAGTATGAGGAAAAGAACTTTTTTCTCATTTTGAAAAAATAACTTTAAATAATACTTCTCTGGATAGCACTCCCCTGTCCTTGCACATTAGCGTGCTTGACTTTTGGTTTGCAGAGAAAAAGTTGTGTAATGTTTTGGAACTGGATCTACCAAGCTTTGTGACCAGGGATTGCTCTAAGGCTCACTTCCAAATACTGAAGTCATAGGTTTGCAGTGAGGATTAAATAAGCAGATCTATGTGAAGCGTGTAGCTTGCCTACAGTTCATAGTAAGTGCTTAAAAATCTGTTTATTCTTTTTCTTTTTTCTTTATAAATTCTGCCAGGGGTGTTGTCCTGCTAGAAAGTGATAGAGAGAGAACATGTGCGTGCATTCCCTCTCCCCAGGGAGTGTGGCCACATCACAGTCCTTTCCTCCATTTCTCCATCCCATCAGAATTTGGGGCATGCGTGCACATGCTCCTGTTTACTTACTTATTTTATTTCTTTGGTACCATAGGGTACATGCACTCACTGGAGAGAGACAGAGAGAGAAAGTGAAAATCACCCCCCGGGAGGGATGGCCATGCTGCAGTCCCTTCTCCTCTCAGGATTTTGGGCATGCATGCTTATATACCTGGCTAAATAACCCAGGGCAGAATTAATGTTTTGTGTGCCGGAGTAAAGATCTGTCCGACTGTAAAGGCCTTAATTAAGAGCACAGAATGCTGGTGCTTGTGTGTATATTTGCTACACTACATCTTCTGTCGAACTGTAGGTAAGTAGGCTTACTTTAGTCCGATCCATAAAAGTTGTGTCACCTCATGAGTCAAGACTGTCATTCTACACTCTTTTAATGTGTTACTGACACACATAGATTCTTTGTCTCTCATTTTCATGAAGTAAAAGGTGAAAGAATTTAATAAGTACCTTTTGAATAGCCAAAAGTATGAGGAAAAGAACTTTTTTCTCATTTTGAAAAAATAACTTTAAATAATACTTCTCTGGATAGCACTCCCCTGTCCTTGCACATTAGCGTGCTTGACTTTTGGTTTGCAGAGAAAAAGTTGTGTAATGTTTTGGAACTGGATCTACCAAGCTTTGTGACCAGGGATTGCTCTAAGGCTCACTTCCAAATACTGAAGTCATAGGTTTGCAGTGAGGATTAAATAAGCAGATCTATGTGAAGCGTGTAGCTTGCCTACAGTTCATAGTAAGTGCTTAAAAATCTGTTTATTCTTTTTCTTTTTTCTTTATAAATTCTGCCAGGGGTGTTGTCCTGCTAGAAAGTGATAGAGAGAGAACATGTGCGTGCATTCCCTCTCCCCAGGGAGTGTGGCCACATCACAGTCCTTTCCTCCATTTCTCCATCCCATCAGAATTTGGGGCATGCGTGCACATGCTCCTGTTTACTTACTTATTTTATTTCTTTGGTACCATAGGGTACATGCACTCACTGGAGAGAGACAGAGAGAGAAAGTGAAAATCACCCCCCGGGAGGGATGGCCATGCTGCAGTCCCTTCTCCTCTCAGGATTTTGGGCATGCATGCTTATATACCTGGCATAACTTTCAAGCCGCCGGGTCCAGGATCGAACTGAGGTTTGCTATGTGCAAGTCCAGTGCCTTAGTCGCCACACCGCCTGCTGGCCCCCTTGGAGTGTTTTTCAGTCCAGGTATCTGGGATTGAACCTCAGCCTATCAGGTGGGATCTGGCACGCAGTGTACAGCGCTTAACCATTATGCTATAGGGCCAGCTCCAAAACGATTTAATTATCATCTCTGAAAAAAATGGGTCGGAATTTTGATCAGAAACTCCTCTCCCAGACAGAGTGTAGGCATGCGTACTATTTTGTCTCAGCTGACCAGAGCAGACTGTGTAAAGCCCAGATAGGATGTGCCTTGGGCCTGCCCTTGCGTGTGAGGTACTCTTTGACCTTACCCACCTCTTTCCTGGGCCTGTTGTATGGTGAAGTTGGAAAGCTCAGTTACATGAGTTTCTTCACACTGGAGTGTAAAGAAAAAGAAAAGCTTTTTTTTTAAAAAAAAGCTTGTTTTAAAGCTTTTTGCCATAAGGGCGTCTGTGCTCTCTGGAGAGAAAGAGAGAGATAATGAGAGGGAAAGTGAGAAATCACCCACCAGGGTATGGCCACGCAGCAGTCCCTTCTCCTTTATTCTTCTCTTGGTATTTTGGGTGTATATGTACCTGGTGTGTTTCAAGCCTCCGGATCAGGGACTTGAATTGTGGTCAGCCATGTGAGAGTCTAGCACCGAAACTACTATGCCACCTGCTGCCCCCCCACTGTCTTTATTTATTTATTTATTTATTTATTTATTTATTTATTTATTTATTTATTTATTTATTTATTTATTTATTTATTTATTTATTTATTTATTTATTTATTTATTTATTTATTTATTTATTTATTTATTTATTTATTTATTTATTTATTTATTTATTTATTTATTTATTTACCCCCAAACTGTCTTTCAAAGACCTATTAGTTTGTAATTTTGCTGCCATCCTGAGCTCACTTGAGGTTTATCATGTGCCTATTAGGTATCTAGTGCTTCTGCTCACATCTAATTGATCCTAAAATGCAAACTAACTTACTTTTCTAGTGTAAGTTTCCATAAGTAGATTATACCTATAATTTAGTGGTTCATAATTTTCTCCTTGATTTTTTTTTTCTCACCTTAGTGTTTTTTTTAAAGAATTATTTTATTTAACTGTATTTATTTATTCATTTGTTTATTTTAATTTGACCAGAGATGGACAGAGTGAGAGAGAGAAAGTGAGAAAGCAAGCCTCCAGGTCCGGGACTTGAACCGCGGTCAGCTATGTGGGAATCCAGTGCCTTTAACTACCACGTCCCCTGCTGACCCTGAACGGTTCATATTTGATACTGTGTAAAAACTTAGCATATGGGGCCAGTAGGTGGTGTGGTAGTTGAGGACTGGACACTCCCACATGGCCAGCCACAGTTTGAGCCCTGGACCTGGTGGATTACCTTCTCACTTTCTCTCTCTTTCTCTTTCTGTATCTCTCTGATCAAATTAAGATAAATGAATGATAAATAAAATTAAATAAATAATTATTTTTTAAAAAAATCTTAGAATATGTTTAGGATGGCATTTGTCTTCCCAGACACCAAGGTCTTTGTAGAAAGAGGTTGATGGGTTCCGTGGCCGGGCTCTGTGGTTGGGTTTTAAACAAGTGAGAGTGTGCTGCTGCCCAGTAGCTTGACCATCGAAGCTTTCCTTTCTCTCGTTTTCCCTCTTCCCGTCACATCCATCCATCCGTCTCCCAGAAGATGAAAAGGCAAAGCGAGAAGTGTCTTCCTGGACTGTGGAAGGTGATATTAACACCGACCCATGGGCAGGTTATCGGTATACGGGTAAACTCCGGCCACATTATCCGCTGGTGAGTAAATAAGGTAATACAAATTGAATATTATTTTAAACCAGTTTCCCATTGCCTGGAAATGATACTTGTAATTTGTGTTCCAGTGGTGGATTACATGATCAGGTTGTTTGTCTAGGACCTTGCTTCCTAGCTCTTTGGCTCTCCTGCATTATTTGCGAGCTAGTAGGGATAGTCTGCAGTCATGGAAGTGGTGGAAACATTATAGATGAAAGGACCAAAACTTTAAATTTTAAAAAGGAAGGGGTAAAGTGGAATAGATATTTTCTGGTTGACATTATAGCCACATATGTAGTAATACTTTCCTAAATTTTTTTTAAGGTGATAGAATTCTACTTTCATTTTGATATGATTTTTTTTTGCTCCTTTTATTGCTTCCCATGATCTTGGCAGCTAGGTTTCAAGAGGTTGTTTTTTGTTTGTTTGTTTGTTGGTTTAATTGCCAGAGGGCGTATGTGTTTGCCAGAGACAAAGAGAGCGAGAAACTCACAATGGAGCATGGTCACGTGACATTCGTCCCTTCTCCATTTTTCCATTCTGTCAGAATTTGGGGCATCCACGCACATGTGGCTGGCATTTTTTTTTTTTCAAGCCACAGGGACCGGGATTCGAACTGCAACCAGCCATGTGCCAATGCATTTCTCTTAACCACTTGCCTGCATTGCTGGCCCAGAACTTAGAATTTTAACATAGGAATTCACTTACGTTGAAATCTATTTGTCATCCTTAAATTTTAAGTTTTCTATACTGATAACTTTCTTTTTTATAAAAGGAATACATCTTTGATTAATTTTTTGAGAAATATAAAATCTATCAGGGAGTCTCCTCTGTCTTGCCTTTCAGGTATACTGACTAGGAACACCTTGGTGCCTATTTACTTTGGGATGTTATTTTTTGTGGTGAACTTGCCCATTTGTTTGGAATAGCACGGGGACCTGTGGTCTGTTTCTAACATTAAGTCCTAATGGTCTGGTCACTCTTCCCCCTTTAAATATCTGAAAAGAGACGTTGCATTAATATTGGGAAAGTGAAGCTTAATCTTAATGAAAGAGTTATCAGGATATTTAAGATGTCATTTAAAACCTTATTCATTTGAAAACTTCTGAATAGATTTTTTTTGTGTTTTATTTTCCTTGTTAGTAAACCAGCTTTAACCAATCTCCTTGATGTTTTTAGATGCCGACAAGGCCAGTGCCAAGTTACATTCAAAGGCCGGATTATGCTGATCATCCCTTAGGTAAGTTCTGCTGTGCGGATTCTTCATGTTTCAGTTTGTAGGCTTGGTGAACTTGGAAAAAGGAAAGAGGGCTTTACTTACAGAAATTTGTCAGTGCTGGACTGAAGTAATAAGTATCAACATTGTTTTTTCAAGCCACGTTAGGACATTTAAGAGATTCATCTCCACCTCCCCATTAGAAAGTTACCTGTTGGGGTTGGCAGGTGGCGTGGTGGTTGGGTTGCTGAACTCCCACATGGCTGACCGCAGTTCAGGTCTCTGAGCTGGTGGCTTGCTTTCTCATTTTCCCTGTCTCTCTCTCTTTGTCTCTCTCTAGTCAAACTAAACAATAACAACAACAACAAATGGAATTAAATAAATAATTCTTTAAAAAATGTTACCTGTTGGGACCAGAAGTTGGCATAATGGCTGTGTCACTGGACTCCCATGTAGTTGACTGTTGTTTGAGTCCTGGATCCGATGGCTTAAACTCAAGATGGGCGCATGTGGGTGCGTGCCCAAGATCCCGAGAGGAGAATGGAGGAGAAGGGATTGTGATATGGCCATCCTCCCAGGGAATGATTTCTCGCTTTCTGTCTCTCTTTCTCTGTCTTTCTGGCGAGTGTATGTGCCCGATAGCCAAAACCTATCCAAAATAAAAAAAAGTGACCTATTATTAAAACATAATTTATGTAGGTGTTAATGGCCACATTCAAAATAATAACTGCATTTTGTGTTCTTATGTCAACTCCTAGATTTACAAAACCAGTTTTGATTTTCACATGCCATTCTACCTAAGTTATACAAGGTCCATTTAGGAACAGCACATCGTGGAAACCTGAGTAGATACCTGACTTCTTGGACAGTTATAGTAATAGAGATAGCAGAAATGTAGTGAAAATGGTGACGATGAGAACGATGGTGATGATTCTGTAATAATAAGTGCTGTTTATTTTTGCCTGTGTGTCTGGCTCTGTGCTAAGTTCTTTGCACCTGGCATTTCCTTGAACGTGTCTAGCTCTCTGCTGGTGAGTTCTGTGGTCATCTCCATTTTATAGGTTATGATAGTGAAACACTCAGAGAAGATAGGTTCTTTGCAATAAGAGTCAGTGGAGCAAGTCTCATCCCTGAAGGCCTGTACACATAATTTGACTCAGACTATATGAAATTACTGATTTAACATGTCAAAAATGGTTGAATATTAGCAGTTTCATGTGGTTTAATCTAAACTAAATTACCATTGCATTATTCTCTGTGAAGTGGGGGACTGTATTAAATTCTTAAGAATATAATTTTAGAGGCCGGCAGGTGGCATAGTGGTTAAGGGTGTTGGACTCCCACATGGCCAACTATGGTTTGCGTCCTGGACTGGCAACTTGCTTTCTCAATTTCTCTCTCTCATTTTCACTCTCTCACTCTGTCCCTCTCTGGCCAAATTTAAATAAATAAATAAGCAGATAAATAAATAAATAAATAAACAAAGTTAAAAATAATACCTTAAGAAAAAAAGAATGTAATTTTAAAACTTAGTTAAACTCCACTATTTAATATTAATTTCTATAGTATTCATTTGTACTTTAAAAAATACATATAGAGGGAACCAGCAGTTAGCGTAATGGCTATGTCGCTGGACTCCCACGTAGTCGACCGCGGTTCGCGTCTCGGACCCGGTGGCTTAAATCTCACGCCGGGCGCGTGTGCGTGCGTGCCCAAGATCCCGAGAGGAGAATGGAGGAGAAGGGATTGCGGCGTGACCATCCCCTCTGGGGGGTGATTTCTCGCTTTCTGTCTCTATGTCTCTCTCTGTCTGTCTGGCGAGCGCACGCGCCCTATAGCGAAAACCTCTCAAAAAAAAAAAAAATACATATAGACAGGGCCAGCAGGTGGCATGGTGGTTAAGGTGCTGGATCCCACATGATTGACTCCGTAGTTAGAGTCCTGGATCCAGCACCTTAAAAAACACGCCAGGCATGTTTGCCCAAAATTGCAGGAGGAGAGTGGAGAAAGGATTGCGGTGTGGCATCCCCCTTGAAGAGTGATTTCTCACTTTCCCTCTCTCTTTCTCTCTGGTGAATGTATGTGCCTTACAGAAAAATCTAAAGAAAAAATACACCCACACACATACACACACCTGTATGTTATCTATCTATCTATCTATCTATCTATCTTTCTTTCTTTCTTTTTTTTTATTTATCAGAAGGTGCTTGTGCTTCCAGAAGGGGGATTGGAAAGGGAGAATGCACCCCTCATTGGGGATGTGGTTATGCTGCAATTCCTTTTCCTCCAGTTCTCCACCCTCTTGGGATATTGGGCATACAAAAATATGCACCTAGCATGTTTTTCAACTGCTGGGTCTGGGATTCAGACCATGTGGTTAGCTGTATGAAATCTGGCTCCCTTAACCACCAAGCTGTGGGGTCCACCTGGTAAATTCCAAGAGTAAAGTAAACAGCGAAACGTGAGTTCTCCTCCCTAGAGGTAGTCATTATTAGTAGTTTCATGCATAGTTGTTCCAGTGATATTCTTTATGTGTACAAACAGCCCATCCTCCTAATTTATTCAGAGGGAACAAATTATGTACATCTTTTCATCTCGCTTCATTCTTTTAATGTATTTTGGAAATATTTCATATAAGCCCATTAAAGCACTCTCCTCTTAGTATTTTTATTCCATTGTGTGGGAGTGTCATAATTTATTAAACCAAGCTTCTAACGGGTGTTCAGATTATTTCCAGACTTTTGCTTCTGCCTGTTTGACCTTAGGTGCTGTCCTTTGGTGTATGTCTTTGACTACATATGGGGGTTCTTCTGTAGAGTTAACTGCCTAAAGTAAAATAGATGACTCAGAGGCTACATACAACTTTGGTTTTGAGAGAGAATACAAATTTCAGAGATTTTATAATATTTTTGGTTCTTGTTACCATGAAAAACCACATAGGAGCCACCTTCCAGCTAAGTCTTCCCCAGAATATATTGTATAATAACACTTTATGATTTTTATCATTGGAAAGATGGAAAATGGTAATTTGCTGTTATTTTAGTTTTTTACATCTTTTTATTTATTTATTTATTTGTTCTGGGGAGAGGTTTTTGCAATAGAGTGCTTGTGCTCACCAGAAAGAGAGAGACAAAGAGACAGAAAATGAGAAATCACTCCCCAGGGAGGATGGCCACACTGCAATCCCTTCTCCGCCATTCTCCTCTCGGGATCTTGGGCACACATGTACATGTTCCCAGCGTGAGTTTAAGCCACTGTATCCGGGACTTGACTACATGGGAGTCCAGCAACATAGCCATTATGCCATCTTCTGGTCGCTATTTTTATACTTAAAAAATTTTTATTTTTATTACCTTTTTTTTAGAGGAAAGTCCTTTTTAATTTTTTTAAAAAGATTTATTTAATTTTTATTTATTCATTCATTTAATTTTAATTTGACCAGAGAGAGACACAGAGAGAGAGGGTAAGAAAGCAAGCCACCAGGTCTGGGACTTGAACCTCAGTTGGCCATGTGAGAGTGTCCAGCTCCTTAACCACCACGCCACCTGCTGGTCCCCATATATATATTTTTTTCTTTATTGACAAAGGGCACATGTGAGAAAGAGAAAGAGAGCTCCCCCACTGGGGTATGGTCTTTAGGATGTGTGTACTTGCTGGAGAGAGACAGAGATAGAAAGTGAGAAATCACCCCCAGGGAGTATGGGTGAATTCCTTCTCTTTCGTTCTTCTCTTAGGATCTTGGGCATGCACGCGTATGCACTGGGAGTGTTATTAGGCTACTGGTCTGGGACTTAAACTGCTCAGTTGGCCATTTGGGATCCACACACTTTAACCACCGTGCCACCGGCTGGCCCAACCTTTCCTTTTTTTCAGAATTTTTCTGACTATTCTTACATGTTTATTTTTCCATGTAAAATTTAGAATCAGCTTATCTGGCTCCCAAAAATATCCTGTAGGCATTTCTTATTGTGATATTAGTAAATTTATAGATTAATTTTAAAGGAATTGGCACTTTGTTGAGTCTTCTTATTCAAGAACAGGGCATATTTTTCTATTTTAAGTTTCCCTTTATGTCTCTTAGTAATGTCTTCAGGTTTTTTCGTATAGATTTATTTCTGGGTATTTTATCTTCTTGGTTATTTGTCTGAATAGTATTTTCTTTTCTTTTTTTTCTTTTTAGTTCATTGTTTGTAAGTGAGGAAGTCACTGGTTTTGAAAATTGACCTTATAATTTGCCAACTGGCTGAATTCTTATTTCTGGTCATTTACCAGGTGATTCTCCTGTTCGAAGAATATAAAATCATATTTGAAATGAAGGATTTTATCCTTTCCTTTCCAGTGTTATCTTACTTCTTTCTCTTGTTTAATTCATCTACTCACATTACCAACATCATGTGAAATAGTGGCGCTGGATGTGAGCATTCTGTGGTGTTGGCTCTGAAGATTTATCGGGTAGTCAGAAAAATCATGGCATTTTTTGGTGCAAAAATGTGACATGACTTTTCTGATGACCCAGTACATTTATTATGTTAGACGGTAGCAGCCATGTTGTCAGGATAATAATTATTATTATTATTTTCAGGTTTTGCCATAGGGTGCATGTACTTGTAAGAGAGAGAGAGAGACAGAGGGAATGTGAGAAATCACTCCCCAGGGAGATGGCCACACCGCAGTCCCTTCTCCAGTCTCCTCTCCGTATTGTGGGCATGCATGCATACACGCACACATGCTCACATGCCAGTGTGATTCAAGCTGCAGGGTCTACTATGCAAATTGCACTTGGCCAATGGGAGTTCGGTGCCTTAACCACCATACCACCTGCAGGCCCCAGGATTCTTCCTTTTTAGATGATCACTTACTTTTCTTTCCTTAATCTATGTCTAATGAATTAGATTAATAATAATAGGTCTGCAAATATTGAACTATCTCTAATTTCTGGCATCTTACTTCAGTCATGATGTATCGTCCTTTTTGTATTCTGCTTGGTAAGATTTTACTGGGAATTTCTCTGTCAGTACTTATAAATAAGATTAGTTGATGATTTTTATTTTTGTCATATTTTGAAATAATTGCAATAGTGACTTTATTTGAAATACAGGTAAAACTTGAATTAAGCTAATTTTATTAGTGAAGATTCTTTTTTTTTTTTTCAAAAAACTATTTAATTTTATTTATTATTACTATTTTTTAAAAAATTTGCTGTAGGGCACAATTTGCTGTAGGGCACATGAGCTCACTAGAAAGAGAGATGGGGGTGGGGGAGGAGGTAGACAGAAAGCAAGCCGCCAGGTCCAGGACTGGAACCACAGTCAGTCATGTGGGAGTCTAGTGCCTTAACCACCACGCCACCTGCTGGTTCCAGTGAACGTCCTTAAGGCACTGCTTTTCAAACTAATTTAAAAAAATTATTTCTTTATTGGGGACCAGCAGGTGGTGTGGTTGGGGCGCTGCACTCCCACATTGCTGTGGTTCAAGACGTGGTGGCTTGCTTTCTCACTTTCCCTCCTCCTCTCTCTCATTCTGACCCTCTCTGGTCAAAATTAAAAATAAATAAATAAAGTTAAATAAAATAATTCTTAAAAATTTTTCTTTATTTATCATAGAGTGCATGCATCTTAGACAGAGAGACACACAGAGATGGAGACAAAGAGATAACCTTTTTAATTTTTTTAAAAAGATTTATTTAATTTTTATTTATTCATTCATTTAATTTTAATTTGACCAGAGAGAGACACAGAGAGAGAGGGTAAGAAAGCAAGCCACCAGGTCTGGGACTTGAACCTCAGTTGGCCATGTGAGAGTGTCCAGCTCCTTAACCACCACGCCACCTGCTGGTCCCCATATATATATTTTTTTCTTTATTGACAAAGGGCACATGTGAGAAAGAGAAAGAGAGCTCCCCCACTGGGGTATGGTCTTTAGGATGTGTGTACTTGCTGGAGAGAGACAGAGATAGAAAGTGAGAAATCACCCCCAGGGAGTATGGGTGAATTCCTTCTCTTTCGTTCTTCTCTTAGGATCTTGGGCATGCACGCGTATGCACTGGGAGTGTTATTAGGCTACTGGTCTGGGACTTAAACTGCTCAGTTGGCCATTTGGGATCCACACACTTTAACCACCGTGCCACCGGCTGGCCCAACCTTTCCTTTTTTTCAGAATTTTTCTGACTATTCTTACATGTTTATTTTTCCATGTAAAATTTAGAATCAGCTTATCTGGCTCCCAAAAATATCCTGTAGGCATTTCTTATTGTGATATTAGTAAATTTATAGATTAATTTTAAAGGAATTGGCACTTTGTTGAGTCTTCTTATTCAAGAACAGGGCATATTTTTCTATTTTAAGTTTCCCTTTATGTCTCTTAGTAATGTCTTCAGGTTTTTTCGTATAGATTTATTTCTGGGTATTTTATCTTCTTGGTTATTTGTCTGAATAGTATTTTCTTTTCTTTTTTTTCTTTTTAGTTCATTGTTTGTAAGTGAGGAAGTCACTGGTTTTGAAAATTGACCTTATAATTTGCCAACTGGCTGAATTCTTATTTCTGGTCATTTACCAGGTGATTCTCCTGTTCGAAGAATATAAAATCATATTTGAAATGAAGGATTTTATCCTTTCCTTTCCAGTGTTATCTTACTTCTTTCTCTTGTTTAATTCATCTACTCACATTACCAACATCATGTGAAATAGTGGCGCTGGATGTGAGCATTCTGTGGTGTTGGCTCTGAAGATTTATCGGGTAGTCAGAAAAATCATGGCATTTTTTGGTGCAAAAATGTGACATGACTTTTCTGATGACCCAGTACATTTATTATGTTAGACGGTAGCAGCCATGTTGTCAGGATAATAATAATTATTATTATTTTCAGGTTTTGCCATAGGGTGCATGTACTTGTAAGAGAGAGAGAGAGAGACAGAGGGAATGTGAGAAATCACTCCCCAGGGAGATGGCCACACCGCAGTCCCTTCTCCAGTCTCCTCTCCGTATTGTGGGCATGCATGCATACACGCACACATGCTCACATGCCAGTGTGATTCAAGCTGCAGGGTCTACTATGCAAATTGCACTTGGCCAATGGGAGTTCGGTGCCTTAACCACCATACCACCTGCAGGCCCCAGGATTCTTCCTTTTTAGATGATCACTTACTTTTCTTTCCTTAATCTATGTCTAATGAATTAGATTAATAATAATAGGTCTGCAAATATTGAACTATCTCTAATTTCTGGCATCTTACTTCAGTCATGATGTATCGTCCTTTTTGTATTCTGCTTGGTAAGATTTTACTGGGAATTTCTCTGTCAGTACTTATAAATAAGATTAGTTGATGATTTTTATTTTTGTCATATTTTGAAATAATTGCAATAGTGACTTTATTTGAAATACAGGTAAAACTTGAATTAAGCTAATTTTATTAGTGAAGATTCTTTTTTTTTTTTTCAAAAAACTATTTAATTTTATTTATTATTACTATTTTTTAAAAAATTTGCTGTAGGGCACATGAGCTCACCAGAAAGAGAGATGGGGGTGGGTGAGGAGGTAGACAGAAAGCAAGCCGCCAGGTCCAGGACTGGAACCACAGTCAGTCATGTGGGAGTCTAGTGCCTTAACCACCACGCCACCTGCTGGTTCCAGTGAACGTCCTTAAGGCACTGCTTTTCAAACTAATTTAAAAAAATTATTTCTTTATTGGGGACCAGCAGGTGGTGTGGTTGGGGCGCTGCACTCCCACATTGCTGTGGTTCAAGACGTGGTGGCTTGCTTTCTCACTTTCCCTCCTCCTCTCTCTCATTCTGACCCTCTCTGGTCAAAATTAAAAATAAATAAATAAAGTTAAATAAAATAATTCTTAAAAATTTTTCTTTATTTATCATAGAGTGCATGCATCTTAGACAGAGAGACACACAGAGATGGAGACAAAGAGATAAGCTCCCTCCCAGGGTCTGGGCACGCCATGATCCCCTCTCCGGTCTTTCAGCCAGTCCTACCTTGGGCGTTTGTGCTCGGGCCCGGCATGTTGAGGCCAACCAAGGTCACCATGTGGGATCCGGCTGCTCTTGAGCAGCACATCATTGCTGAGCCGTGGAGCCAGCCAGCCCCGTCTTAAACATTTCTGTTTAAATCACTCTTTGATTCAGAGTGAGAAATGGGCTTTATCACATGATCTGAATATGTGTGTGTGTGTGTGTGTGTGTGTGTGTGCTTGCACTCGCGCGTAAATTAACACGTTTCACAGCAGCACGTACCTTTATTCTGTGTAATACAGTCTAGCACTTTACCTATTTGCCTAAAAAAGTAATAATAGTTGTAGCCCACGAAAAAGGAAGGTCACAAACACAATTTGGAAACACTGACTTAGGTTCCTGTTTCAAAAAATAAATAAATAGAAGGTTCATCGTTTGTCTCTTCATGAGATGAGGATCATGAGAGCAATTATTGCTTGGCATACAGTAAATAGCCAGTAGGTCTTGGCTGATTCCTAATAGATCTGAACATTCAGTCTTCAGAATCCTTCCTTTTCTTTTCATGTTGGACATTTTTTCATTACCAAAAAATCCAATCTGGACCCTCCAAAATCATGGAACACTATTGTGTGAAATAGACTTGACTATTGTATGTCATCAGGGATATAATTATGCTTATAAATACATCGCTCCCATCATTTTGGCTTTACTTACTGATTTTCCGTTTCAGGAATGTCTGAATCTGAACAGGCTCTTAAAGGTACTTCTCAAATTAAACTGCTCTCATCTGAAGATATAGAGGGGATGCGACTTGTATGTAGGGTAAGTTATTTTTTTCCCATGGGGTAGGACATGTTTAAGTGTACTTGATCATAAAGTCACTGATTTGCTAATTTATAAAGGTACCCACTGTTATAAAACTATAACTAGCCATACTTATTTTTATTACACTATCATTAATAGATATTTTTATGCAACATTTTCTACTTTAGTAGCCTATTTGAAAATTAATAGGGTAGGTTATATTTAGTTGACAGTCTATTTCTCCCTATTTTTATTTTTTTTACTTTTTGGTTCACTATAGGATGCGTGCACTCACCAGAGAGAGAGAAAGAGAGAAAAAGTGAGAAATCCCCCTGCCCCGTCCCCCAGTAAGATGACCATGTCACAATCCTTTCTCATCCATTCTCCTTTCAGGATTTTGGGGCAGGCACACATGACCAGTGTGATTCTTTAGCCACCAGTTCAGGACTTGAACCACGCAATCAGCCATGTGGGATCCAGTGCCTTAGCCTCTACTCTGCCTGCTGGCCGAACCAACAAAGGTGAAACACTTGAATTTCAAAGTTTAGGATAAACCATAGTTCTTGTCTTTGAACTTGTGTTTTTTGTTTTGTTTTTAATGTTTATTTTTTTCCCCCCCACAAGGCATGTGTGTTCATCAGGGAGACAGTGGGAGATAAAGTGAGAAATCTTCTCCCAGGGAGGATGGTCATGCCATAATCCCTTCTCTTCCATTCTCTTCCTGGGATCTTAGGCACTAACACACACATGTGCCCAGCATAATTCCGAAGCCACCGGGTCCCAGACCCAAACTGCGGTTGGCCTTGTGGGAGTCTAGCAAAGTAACTGCTGTGCTATCTGCTGGTCCCAGTCTATTTCTTTTACCCATTTTATTTATTTTTTTTAAGGAATCAGGTTTTTACGATATTTTTTGTCATCTTATTTTCAGAGGTTTCATAGGATAGAGTTTAAGGCTCATACAGGGTTAGACTCAAGGTCTTGCTGTGAAATAACCTGTGAAATTTGGTAATAGTGGTTGGTACTTATCAGGTGAAATCACATATTTATATTTTTCTTTTTTTAAAAACATTCCCAGAAGAGCCAGCAGGTGGTGTAGTGGTTAAGGTGCTGAACTCCCACATGGCCGACTACAGTTCGAGTCTCAGACCTGGCAACTTGAAAGTCACACCAGGCATGTGTGTCTGCATGCCAGAATCCCAGGAAGAGAATGGATGAGAAGGGATTGTGGCATAGCCACCATCCCCACTGGGGGGTGATTTCTCACTCTGTCTCCCTCTGGTGAGCACACATGCACTAGGGCAGAAACCTTAAAAAAAAAAAAAAAAACTTAAAAAAATTGCCAGAGGGCACATGTGTTTGCTGGAAAGACAAAGAAAGTGTGAAAGAACCTCCATGGGGCATGGTCATGCCCCAGACCCCCTCCTCCATTTCCCCCTCCTTTCAGTATTTTGGGTATGCATGCATGTATGCCTGGTATGTTTCTAGAGACACCAGGTTCAGGACTTGAACTGCAGGGTTGGCCATTAGGATCTAGCCACCGTAACTACCACGCCACCTGCCAACCCAATGTATTGATACTTTTCCGAAGAAGAGTAATTGATATGTTGGTACTGTTTATCCTTAAGATTTTTATGCAGTGCTTTAAAAGTGATTTGGTAGTGATTTTCACTGATAAAATGAGAACATTATATTCCTGTTACTTATTTGCTATGATTATTTGTGGAAATTTATTCATCTATCCTTTTATATTTTTTCCACCCTTCCCCGTTATAGAAATGTCAGACGACTCAGTCTCTATCAGCTAGTTGATGTTTACATGACTAAGGATGAACATTTCACATAAAAAGCAGTTGAGCTTAGGAATTTGATGTATTTAAAATATATTTGATTTTATAATATACAATGATATATTTCATATACAATTATTATATTCACAAGGAGAATTCATTTACCAGTCTTCCACAAAATCTAAGGCAGTGTGAAGCATATAGACTTGTGTTTCCACTTCTTTTTCTAAAACTTTATTAATGGGACCAGCAGTTGGCGTAATGACTATGTCGCTGGACTCCCATGTAGTCGACCGCGGTTTGAGTCCCAGACCCAGTGGCTTAACTTCACGCTAAGCACGTGTGCGTGCATGCCCAAGATCCTGAGAGGAGAATGAAGAATGCGGCATGGCCATCTCCCCGGGGGGTGATTTCTCGCTTTCTGTCTCTCTCTGTCTTTCTGGCAAGCTCATGTGCCCTATAGCAAAAATCCTCTTAAAAAAGAAAAGAAAAGAAAAGAAAATTGATTATTATTTATTATTTAGTTTGCTATAGGACACACATGCTCACCAGAGAGAGAGTAAGCAAGCCCTTAGACCCATCCCAGACTTGAACCACAGTTGGCCATGTGGGAATCCAGTGCCTTAACTACCACGTCACCTGCCAGCCCCTCCATTTCTTTTATCATGCATTAAATGTTCCTGTTTTACAGCTTGCTAGAGAAGTTTTGGATATCGCTGCTGGGATGATTAAACCAGGTGTAACCACGGAAGAGATAGATCACGCTGTACACTTAGTAAGAGCTCTTACTTTTTTACTTTGGGAAAAATGTTCACTTTATTAGATGTTTTAGACTCTAAAATTAAGGAGACTAAAGTTCTGAGTGTCTGAGGTAACTTGGTAAATAAAGCTAATGAGGAAGGAACTTTTTGCTTTGTTTCCAACATGGAAAACGCTAGAAAGTGATCATTGCCACCTTTCAATATCTGTGACACTGGGATCTGAGCTTGAAACGTCTTGTTTCTGAAACCCCGTATTTCATAAGCCTTTAGTTAGGTTTCCAGAAAATGGTTTTTTCAGTTCTTTAAAGAAATCATACGACAACATACTTCAGTTACTATGAAATGATAAAAAGTATGGCTTCTGAAGTTAGATTAGAAATCAGAGACAAACTTTCTCCTTCATATACACTATAACAGGGCAGTAAATAGGCCAGATAAATATCTGTAGTAAATACGAAGTAGAGATTTTTAAAAATAAATATTGCCAGTAATATTTATAAAACTGCTAGTAAAATTAAAATCAATTCCACAAGTTTTTTTAAGAGAGATTTTTGCTATAGTGTGTGTGCCAGAGAGACAGAAAGTGAGAAATCATCCCCCTCCCCAGAGGGAATGACCATGCTGGGCACACACGTACATGCACCCTGCATCCGTTTTAATCTGCTGGGTCCAGAACTTGAACTGTGATTGACTATGTGGGAGTCCAGCAACGTAACCATTCTGCCATCTACTGGTCCGCACAATTGGTATTGTAAGGAACCAGTGAAAAATGATTAGCTTGGGGCCAGCAGGTGGCATGGTGGTTAAGGGCGCTGGACTCCCACATGACTGACCACGGTTCAAGTCTCGGACCTGGTGGCTTGTTTTCTCACTTTCCCTCTCTCTCTTGCTCTCTCATTCTGTCCCTCTGTGGTCAAATTAAAATAAATAAATAAAGTTTAATAAAATAATTCTTTTAAAAAAATGGATTAGCTTGAAGATTGTGTGGCAGTATGGCAACCTGAATTAGTATTCTATCATTAATGCAGTGTAAAAACATCCCGGTAAAGGAAGACTTGTTAGAGAAACCAGGCCATTTTCTAAGAGTTTTTTGTTGTTCCACTGAATATAGTGATTATAGTGTCTTTGGAAGTACTTTATTATTTCTTAATTATACTAGTATTCATTCTTTGGTTATAAGGATGTAGGCTTGTGTATGTGAAATTATAATTACACTGAAAGTACCTGTTAATATTTACTTTACAATCTTTTGCCTTTAGTATATTTTAATATGGAGAGTTTATTTCCTAAGTAGATTCTGTATGTGGTAACATTTGTATATGTATTTTTTTTCTAAGAGAGATTTTTGTTATAGGACGTGTGCACTTGCCGGAGAGAGAGAGAGACAGAAAGCGAGAAATCACTCCCCAGGGTGGACGGCCATGCTGCAATCCCTTCTCCTCCATTCTCCTCTCAGGAGATGCACATATGCCCAGCGTGAGTTTCAAGTTGCCAGGTCCAGGACTCAAACCGTGATCAATTACTTGGGAGTCCAGCGACGTAACCATTACGCCATCTGCTGGTCCCGACATTAGTTTCTATTCATAATATGTAAATCCGATTTTCCTTAGTGCAGTTATCAATAAATGGTTTGGAGACCGTGTATCTGGCTGGCATAAACCCTGTTGTATTCTGTTGAAGATAATATCTGGGATGCTGTTTCTGAGATAAAACAGTAAATAAGTTCTTTGTAGCTGTCCATCTTTTTTCATAGTTTTTGAATTTTAAAATCTGATCGTATACAGATTAATTTTTTTCCATATTCTAAATTATTTTCTCTGTGTTTTAATTTATTATAGGCATGCATTGCAAGAAATTGCTACCCTTCTCCCCTGAATTATTATAATTTTCCCAAGTCTTGTTGTACCTCAGTGAACGAAGTCATCTGCCATGGAATTCCAGACCGACGGCCCTTGCAGGAAGGTGATATAGTCAACGGTAAGAATGTAGGGCAACCGTGGTCACCCTGAGCAAGGAAACCACCGAGACGGGGAGTCTGCGTGCTTGTGTTTTCGCGACTTGCTTCTTTTTCTAATTTGAATTCAGCATGACTCAGATCTACAGAAACGTTTTTTATGGTTTTGTGCGTGTTGCTTTTAGGATATGTATAGTATGGTGTGTCTGTTTCACACGTTGGCCTGGTTTCTTTGCTTACCAACTCATAGGTAATTGTAAGTAGGGGAAAGAAGTGGATGACATGTGGGTGTAATGTCGAGGTTAGTTTTTGTTTGTTTGTTCTGTTTTTTTTTTTTTTCCCCCTTAAGTTCAGTGATGATTTTGAGGCTTTCAGGGCAGGCTTTCTTACTGCTAGAGAACTCCTCAGTAATACATGAAAATCTTCAGAAAACAGTTGAAAATCCTGCGAAAGTGCCTTTCTTGAGTGAAAGTGGTTTCAAGGACCCCCGTGGCAAGCTGTCTGGGGACCTGCAAGCGGAGAGGAAATGCTGCAGAGACAGACATTTCCCTCTGCGATGGAGAACAGGGCTGAGAAGAAGGCTGCCCTGGGCGGTATCCTCAGTGTGACTGAGAGTAGTTCTTTAGTAACCAGAGCCTGCGAAGGAGCTGTGTATCAGATGAGGAAACAGAGCCCAAGCATTATCTTAGGCTGAAGAGAACAGACTGACGGTGCTGGTGGCTGTGAACCATCGCGAAGGTGGGGCAGCGGCATGGTGTGTATTAGAGTTACTGCTTCAGTTACGGTGTCTGTGTGTAAAGTCCCTTAGATTTTGGGGCAGATCCTTTTTATTTTAGTCTGTGTGTGTGTGTGTGTGTGTGTGAGAGAGAGAGAGAGAGAGAGAGAGAGAGAGACAAAAACCCTGGAGAGAGAGAGACAAAACACCCTGGGGAAAAAAAAGACACAGACACATACTCTCAGAAGGGTCTTGGCAGCACAGTCCAGGCACAACTTCAGTCAGCTTGGACCATGGGTGCACGCCATCCTGGCATGCCAGGGGAGGCTACTGGATGTGAACTCGTAACCCTCCTCTGGATCTGTGTCATGAAGCATCTTTTTAAAAATAATTATTTTAAAATTTCACTTACCGGGAACCAGCAGTTAGCGTAATGGCTATGTTGCTGGACTCCCACGTAGTCGACTGCGGTTCGCGTCCCGGACCCGGTGGCTTGGAACTCACGCCGGGCACGTGTGCGTACGTGCCCAAGATCCCGAGAGGAGAATGGAGGAGAAGGGATTGCGGCGTGACCATCCCCCCTGGGGGGTGATTTCTCGCTTTCTGTCTCTATGTCTCTCTCTGTCTGTCTGGCGAGCGCACGCGCCCTATAGCGAAAAAACCTCTCAAAAAAAAAAAAATTTCACTTACCATTATTATTGTTATTTTTGATTTGTTATAGAGCACATGAGTTCACCAGAGAGAGAGAGAAAGTGAGTAAGCAAGCCGTCAGGTCTGGGACTTGAACTACGGTTTGCCTTGTGGAAGTCCAGCACCTTAAACTCCATGCTGAGCACACAGAGCATTGCCTTTCTTTTTTTTTTTTTTTAAAGAGGTTTTACCTTAGGGCACATGTACTCTGTAGAGAGAAAGGGAGAGGGAAAGCGACAGAGACAGACAATGAGAGGGGAAGTGAGAAATTACCTTCCCCACCAGGTGAATGGCCACACAGCAGTCCCTTTTCCATTCTCTTCTTGGGATCTTGTGCACACACAAATGCATTTGGCATGAGTTCCAAGCCACTGGGTCCTGGACTCGAATCGCCGTCAGCCATGTGGGAGTCCAGTGACGTAACTGCTACGCCATCTGCCGGTCCCCAGAGCATTGTTTTTTACTCCTATGCCACTATCCCTGCCATCCAAACCCTGTTACTTATTTATTTGTTTTTTGCCATAGGGTGGGTGTGCTTACTGGAGAGACAGACGGAGGGAAAGTGAGAAATCACTCCCTGGAGGGGTGGCCACCTGGAAATCCCCTCTTCTCCCTTTTCCCCTTGTGATTCTGGGCGTGCGTGCACATGTGCCTAGTGTGACCCACAAACTGCTGGGCCTGGGATTCAAACCATGGTCAGCCGTGTGGGAATCCATCACCCCAACCACCACGCCATCTGCTGGCCCCCAAGCCCTGTTATTTTTATCATATACACAGCGTGTGAGGTTTTGCAGGAACGCGTGTGCTGTGGCTAGAGCAGAAACGCCTGTAATGTGATATATATTGATTGAAATTCATGGTTCACAGATGCTCCCTTAACAGGTCAGCAGAAGCGTGGTGGTTAAGGCACTGGATCCCCCATGGCCGACTGCGTGGTTGAATCCCAGACTCAGGGTCTTGAAAATCATGCTGGGTATTTGTGCGTGTGTGTCCAAAATCCCGAGAGAGAAGCAGAGGAGAAGGAAGTGCGGTGTGGCCATCCCCTCTGGGGGGTGATTTCTCACTTTCTCCCTCTGTCTCTTTCGTTCTCTGATTCTCCCTGGTGAGTGCACGTGTCCTGCGACTAAAATCCTTTTTTAAAAAAGTAATAATTTATTATGTTCTCTAGATACACATGGAGACTAGTATATTGAAATAGTAGTAATCTGTATTCTAAAATATAGATACAAAAAGAAGGATAAATACTCACAAATAAGTGAAAGGCAAATGAGTTTTTGAAAAATAAGTGTGGACCAGTGTGTATTTCTGTTTTTTCCCTCGGAGGAGGAAGAAGCTCATTAAAGATAAGTGGAGATGGTGTTTTTCTATTTAATGTCAAATGCGGCGAAGCGCTCAGTTTAATGGTAGCAACTCTGGTCATCCGTCTCGCGTGTCTGTCTCCTGCATACATTTTTCTTCAGCCACGAATGATCTAATTACTGTAAGGGTGTAAAAACACGCCGTCTGGTTTGTGCTGCGTGGCCGTATTCCCGTCTCCACCATGAGCAGATCTGAGTTACACTCGGGTTTCTGCTGGGCGGTAGCTCTGTGCCCACAGTGTCTAATTCGAGAACACAGAAGTTACCTTTTTCATTAAGCTCCTGATCCTGTTTCGTTGTAAAGTGTTTTGCAATGAACAAGTGTGGTCTTCACGTTTGTGCTTTGTTCTGCAGTGGACATCACTCTTTATCGCAACGGTTATCACGGGGACCTGAATGAGACCTTCTTTGTTGGAGAAGTGGATGAGGGAGCACGGAAACTCGTTCAGACCACATACGAGTGCCTGATGCAAGCCATCGATGCAGGTCAGTCCCGCACTGGGCACCCGTGGCTGCTGGGCGCCGATGGGCCGCCAAGGACTCCTCATGGCTCGGGGGTGCATTCCTTGCTCCTGTCAGCCTTGCTGCTGCCCTTCCTCAGCTGCTTCGGGTTTTAGCAGTAATGGGTTCAGGACAGTTCAGGAATCCCTGGATGGGGATGGACAGACCAGCTGACTGCCTCACATCTTTTCTCTTCTCTGATTTATCTTCCTTTTCTTTGCCTAATAAATGGGAGGAATATGTGGATGGTTTCTTCAGTGTTTTATTTTGATTTTTTTATTCTTTCAACTCTATAGTTATAAAAAGCTAAACAGAGCCTTCCAGTAGCATGGTGGCTAAAGACGGCTGCATCCCACTTGGCCAAATGTGTGGTTTTGAGTCCTGGACCCAGTGGCCTGTAAAACCCACCAGACTTGTGTGTGTACGTGCCTAAGATCTTGAGAGGGGAGAGGTGGGCCATCCTCTCTGGAGAGTGCTTTCTCCCTTCTCTTTCTCTGTCTCTCTGCCTCTGGTGAGCACTTGTGCCCTCTGGCAAATTCAAAACAAAACAAAAGTGAAACAAGACCAGAGGTTATAAAGGGAAACAGTGCTCCTCCTTCACGCTTACCTCCCCTCTTTTCATCTCTCTGTCCTCTCTGGAGGCTCCCCTGTGCACATTGAGGTTTTTCCTCTCTCCTGTGCATCAGTGCACACATACCTCTGTGTGTGTGTGTGTGTGTGTGTGTTTAATCAAGTTAAATGAAATTGTAATATTTGGACTATGCCAGCTTGATATTTTTTGAAGCAATAATAGCTGAGAGATCCTTCCAAATTCTCATGTGTCCCTGGGAATGTAGATCTTCATTCTTTTAGTGACTGTGGATTGCATTTCAGAGTACTAGACTGTCTGTTCCTCTCCTTGGTTTTGGTGGTTCCAGAGTTCTTGCTGTTGTGCTGGGTAGAGGTGAGTAGAGGTGTGAACATTTCAGAGGGATTTGTCCTTGGGCTTTCTGTTCATATGAACAACTTAGCTCAAGTGACAGTGTGAGGGCAGACAGCTTTCCAATGACATCTGTAGCGTTTGAACTTCATTTTCTAGTGTATCGTGTACGTTCCTCCTTCTTCAGTTCCCTTACCCCAATATTTACCAGAGTATTAAACAGGGTTGAGCTCTCAGGCAAGCAGATGGTTATATCTAATGACATTGATTTATTAGTTTTGTTTCTAGTTCATTCTTTACCATGTATAGGAAATGGCACTAATTTACTAATGAAAAAGTTGGAGGAATGAACATGAAAAAATGTAGCATTTCATATATCAACACGTGAACTTTCTTTTTGCTTATTATCCACTATTGATTATTTTAAAACTTTATACTCCAGGCAGTATTGTGAGATAAAAGCTTTAACATTTAGTTTGTCATTTGTGGGAGTTTCAGTTTTAAATAAATTTTAGGGTTTCTGCCAGATAATATGTTCAGTGTTTATTTCCTTTCTGCTTCTCTGTGAATTGACTGAAATAACCAGACAGCTGGAGCGTTGTTTTAGAGATGCACAATGAGGACTTGCCAAGAAACCGTCAGAAACTAGAGTCTTCATAACAGTAGCCAGGAAAGAACAAAAGTTGCTGGGTCTCTGGACAGTGCTGTTAACGCCTCTCATTA